TATTTTGTCCTAATAAGAAACTTCCCCCTACCAATTTGCAATCCTAGAGCATTGCCTCAAGCACTTAGAGATTTAGTGATTAGCCTAGGGTTACATAGCTATTGTTTGTCAGAGACAGGATATGAACCCAGGTCTTCCTGGCTCCAAGACAGTCTATCCACTATGCCATGCTGCCTCTCAAATGTTCTAACATGCTAAATTTGTTGCCTCTCCTTGCTTGGAATGTATCTCTCTGGAGCACAGTTCAGGCCATACAATAATAGGTCCTCAACTGCCAGTTTTTACTTAACCTATCTGCCTCAAGCCCCTCTGTCTTTTTCAAAGTTGTTGTGTCATTGACAGCCTTACCTTTCAATAACTATACATATATATATATGTATAAATATATAACTTTTAATGAGATCCTTCTGTTCAATTCAATTAAACCAGCACCTATTAATGACCTACTATGTCTAAGGCATTCCATTTCTGAAATGTAGAAGAAAGAGGCAGAGAATTTTTTTAAAAGGTTGTTGAAGGAAAGTTTCATAGTATTGTAGTCCTAATGTCTATCAGTTCTCATGTCCTCAGAAAGAGTAGTTACAGAAAATATTAACGTTTCACACAATTCTTTTTTTTTTCTCTCTCCAGTGGAGCTATTCCTTTCCAAAGTGAAAATTGTCACACTTGGCCCTTCCCTGCTCTGCTTGTCATCACTTCTTCAGAGAAATTGGTTTTCCTAAGTGTAGGCTTTGACTACAGGAATGGTACTAGAATTTGATGAGTATTCAGACATCATAAACTAAGTTTATATTAGTATTTCAAAGATAGATCATTTCATTATAGATATGTCATCTATGGGCACAGACCACACAGCTTCTTTCAGCCCAATCACACTGTTTTTATGAGTTGTCAGGGGCAGGACAAGAGATAACTGGTAGCAAGTGTTTCTATGGTGTCTCCAAAACTAACTAGGTTTATTCTCAAATGATAGATACACAGTATTTTGCTATGACCATACTCAAAGCCTACCCAGCTTGGTTGGACCTGCCAAAGTTTGGGCTCTATGGACATAAGAAAGCTTCCAGAATACAGGATGCTTCTAAAAGGTGGGAAAAAGGGGAGAGGTGATATTTAGTAAGGAGAGAGATTGACAGAGACAAAGAGACAGAGATCCTATATTCCCCAAATTTGATCACATGAGTTTGAAGTGTATTTCTCAGACCAATAATTTCAAATAGGAAATTTGTGTTGTACTTTCTATGGATTTTTTATGACTTAAGGTATCAAAAATAAAATAAATAGGAAAGAAAAAATAATCCCTCAAAAAAATCATAGGATCATAGATTTGGAGCTGGAAGCAATTTTAGAGGCCATCTAGTCGCAGAAGCATAGAACACCTCAAAACCTCAGAGAACATCTAGTCCAGCCTTTATGTGAACAAGAATGCTCTCTAAAACATACCAAACAAGCTTCTATCCAGCCGTTGTTTAAAGGCCTTCCCAGTGAAGGGGGCCCCACTCACTATCTTCCCAAGGCAGAAACTTTCTACTTTTGGGTAACTATTTTCTTTTACTTTTTCCCTTACAGCAGCTTAAATTTGCCTCTTTTCAAGTTCCACCCATTGCTCTCAGTGCTGCCTTTGGGGGTCAAGCAGAACAAGTCTGTATTTTTCTCATCCATTTTGTCTTTCTGACTTCTGAATTTTATTCTTGAGAACTTTCCATTTTCCTTGGGCTGACTTCCCCTGCAGAATATTAGTCCATGGGATTCTACCTTTTCCCTAATGAGATAAAAATGTTTCTGACCTTTGTGTATATAAGAGGTCATCTAATCCAACTCCTTTATTTTATAGATGAGATAAATAGTTGACCCCCTCATTTTTTTCAGATAAGGTCCACAGAAGTTAAGGAACTTGTCAGAAGTCACACTAATAGTGAATAGCAATGTCTGGATTTGTACCCAAGTCCTCTGACTTCAAATCTAGTGGTTTTTTTCCCACCACTCTCTGGTTTGGGGGTTTAAATATGCAGTAATAAATATACAGGTTTAAAATACTGATTTAAATATGCAGTATTCAATTTTAAAACTTCAATATTTCACGGATCTGGGATTTTGTTATCCAGTGAGCTTAAACCCTTCCCTGTAACAGATTACTATCCCCCTATGACAGTTCTAATATACTGGATAGGTATTTGCTGAATGTCACTGCACACTTTACACTCCAATCCAATGACTGAGAGACAAGGACCCTATCCTCAAGAGTTTAAAATAAAAGAAGGGAAAATAATCCATTCTAAACGGTGTTTTGTATTTGACCCAAGCATTACTTCTGTGATTTCATCTTCTTCCTTGAAAATAACAACTGACATTTATAAAGGGTGTCCTGAACATCTTAGCACACTTATGCTAAGATTTTTGGCACACCTTGTGAAGTCCTTGAAATTTTACAAAGAACTACATTAACTCATTCAATCCACACAATCTGGTGAGGTAGGCACTTTAGGTATTATTATGGTCCCTTTACATATGAAGAAACTGAGGCTTATAGATGTAAATTACTTACCCCTGGTCACCCAGCTTGTAAGTATCAGAGGCATTATTAGAAGTCCTGTCTCTCAGCCTCCAAGTCCAGCCTGTTTTCTGTTACATCCTACTTCTTCTCAAATCCTTTTACCAGTGACATATGGTCATGAATAAGAAAAGAAGTCAGGTAAAATTAGCAACAGAAAATACCTCCCTTATCTACATAGCAAATGGAAGTACCCCTTAATGGAAAGGCATTAACCTAATTATTCATTTTTGTTTCTATTTCAGCTGTGTCTTTCACATTATCTGAGTCCAGAAAGCCTGTGCTGGCTCTGATCTTCACGAACTATCAGAGTAATCAGGAACATTGACCCAGATTTCGAGCTGTACTGTGCATTGCAGCCCAGAATGAGTGGGAGAATTGAGGAGGGAAGATGAAGAAAAGAGGCTTTCCAATTTGCTACTCCCTTTTTCAAGCCTGTACAGTTCACCCCTGATTTAGTTCACAATAAGAAGTCTGGATCTTAAATGAAACATTTGCCTGTTATAGACAACAGTCTCATTTACATTTCCATAGACTTTAATATTTACAAAACACTTTAGTTACAATTACCATTTTACGAATTTTAATATACAAATTTAATACACCATTTTACAAAAGAGGATAGTGTGGCTCAGAGAGACTAAGTGACTTGCTTCTATAAAACATCTAGTGGGATTGAAGGCAGGATACAAACCCATGTCTCCTGATGCCAAATGGAATACTTTTGGTACAGAATGTGAGTACCTTGAGAACAGGGATTGTTGTCTTCTTTGAATTGGTTTCCTCAGCACCTAGTATGGTGCCTGGACACAGCATTTGATAAATAAATACTTGTTGATTGATTACAGCATCGTGCTGTAGCCTGAAAAAAAGCTGACATTTGATATTCACTTTTTTTACTTCCCCCCAGGTATGCTGAGATACCAGGGTCAGAATACTTCTAAGGGCAATTGCTCATTTGTCCAGTGGCCTGTGGATTAACCAACATTTGAGAAGGGCTCTAACAAAGGAGTGGTGGTAGTTTTTCCTAGAAATTACATAAAGAGCAATAGCATTGTGGGAGTATCCGCTGCCCGCTTAGTGAAGATAGCCAACATAGAAATTTTGTATAGAAGTCATAGAGCTGGAAGTAACATTATAGATTTAGTCCAATACCCTCTTCTTAAAACTTTGCCTTTCTTTGAACCCCTGGTGCTTAACACAAGGCCTGACACATAGCAGGCACTTAAGAAATGCTTATTGACTGACACCCTGAGAGATAAAGTGACCACGATCACACAATTAATTAATGACAAAGCCAGATCCAGAACACCTGTCTCCTGATTCTCAATCCAATCAGTGTTCTTTCAATTAGACGATTCAAATTACCCAGCTCTGCCAGAAATTTACACAAAATGGCCTGCTCTGCCAAATAGAAATCAAATTAAAAGCTTCCTCCATTCCTTCCCAATGAATATTTATGGGCTGACATATATGGATTATATATCCGATCCCCATTTACTAGAGCCTTTTCCCTGTGTTTCATCATGGTATAGAGATGATGATGCTCACTGTATCTATAGAGCATAACCTCTACATGTCATGGGATCATAGCTTAAAAGTCATTTCAGTACCCTCATTTTGGAGATAAGGAAACTAAGGACCAGAATGACTTAACCAATGTTGCCCAATGTCAGAGCCAGGCTTCAAACTCAAGTATTCTGACTCCAAAATGAATACTACCAAACCACAAAGATTTTTGAGTACATGTCCAGAAATGAACAGTGTACCTGTCATTCGGTGGCTAAGTTCTGAGAGATTGGTCCCTCAAAAACAAACAAAACTTCCAGAGGATGTTTTCTTATTTATTTGTTTATTTTTAAAAGAACTTATAAAGACTGCCTACTAAGGCTAGGATGGGTTGCTATTTGCATCTATAAAGGAAATGCCCATACCACTGAAATCACAGATCTCAGTTTTTCTCATCACCTCCATAAACCTTCTCTAACTATGCCAGGCCCTCATAGATCCCCCCCCTTTTCTGAAGTCCTACCTAGACCAGCTGTATTCTGTACCACTCAGTTTAACATTAAGCCCTCTAGTCTTGTGTAGTTTACTGATTGTGTTTATCATTCATGTGTCTCCATCTAAATTCGTCTGTTCTTTGAGGGGAGTGTCCATATCTTAGACTTTTTTTGTGTTCCTCATAATACCTAGTGTGGTGCTTTACTTAATATCTAGTAGACTTTTTTTTTTCAGATTGCAGCGGGTTTATTTTAATTAAATTTTTATTTTCAGTTCCAAATTCTCTCCCTTTTCATTACCCCTATCCCACCCATACAGACCGCAAGAGAGTTATGGATTGATTAGGTCTGGTGGAAATTATATACATGCTTTTAATTATATTTCAATTCAAAGATCATGCCTCATTTATTAGCCTAAAAATACAATTTTTTTCTGTCTCTCATAGGTTGTATCTCTGTCTTCTTGGTGTCTCCTGAGAGATTCAACTTACTATACGCTGTCGGTCGTTGCTCTCATTGTGGTAAGTGTTGGAATTTTATCACTAAAAACCATTTTTGGGCAGTTAGGTTGCCCAGCAGCAGAGTGCTAGACTTGGAGTGAGGGAGACCCGAATTCAAATTCTGCCTCATACACTTACTAGTTGTGTGGCCCTGGGTAAATCACTAAACCTCTGGCTACTCAGTTTCCTTGGAGAAGGAAATGGCAAACCACTCCAGTATCTTCACCAAGAAAACCTCAAATGGAGTCATGAAGAGTTGGACCTGACTGAAATGATTGAACAACAATACCACCTCAGTTTCCTCATCTGTAAAATGCAGATAATAGCACCTACTTCTCAGGATAGTTATGAGGATAAAATATGATAATATATGTAAAGTCCTTTGCCACCTTTAAAACACAACAAATGCTAGCTATTATCATTATTGTTATCTTGCCCCACTTTACCATGAGTCTTCAGGTGTGATGGCTATTTTCCAAAAGAGTGATATTTAAAAATACAATTAAATCCAATTCTTTTCAGTCAATTCTGGGCTTATTGCAGTGCTTAGAAATATGTAGCCAACTGCCAGAGACCAGTATTATAAGGAAAATATAGGAACATTGGCTAGAAACTCTGGAGTTAGAAGCAACTTTAGCATCCAACTGGTCCAGTTTGACTCTATTCAGATTCAGCAAGCATTTTTGAACATCCTACTATGTGCAGGGTACCATGTTAGGTACTGAGTATTCAAGACAAAGTAAAACAAGATAAGAAAACAGTCACTGCCCTCAAGGAGCTCAAATTCTACTGAGGAGTATGAAGGAGGAGCAGGGGAAGATACAACTTGTTTACTGACACTAATACCAAGCAACTTTAACAGGCAGACGGAACTAATAACTGGGGAAATCAAGAAAGGCCTCTTGAAAGACAGAGTACCTGAGCTGTGCTTTGAAGGAAGTTAGTGATTCCTAGTGGTGGGGGGGGGGGGGGGGGGGAAGAGGAAGTGACTTCCAGAAACAGCTGGAAGATGGAATGCCTTGTAGTAGGAGTAGTTGGCAGTCTGGTCTTCTACCCTATTGCAGAAATGCCTTATATAATATTCCTGAGAGGTATGCAACCATCCAGTCTTTTTTTAAATAGTTCTATTGACAGAGAGCTCTTTACCTTATGAGGAAAAAAAAAGCACTGTGATATGCTGAACTGGTATCTTGGGCTCTTAAGTAAGCTAATCTAAGGACACTGGTGAAACTCATGTTCTACTAAGTTTAAACCTGGAATGTCAAAGAACTCTGTTTTGAAAGCTTAATACATGATAATACAAGTGATATGGAAAATGACCTTGTATATAATATGTATGGGAGGAGGGGTATTTTTTTTCCATTTTTTAAAGGGAAAATTGCCCTGGAAGACTTTTCTATTTATTTTACTCTTAGAGTTCTTAAACACCATTTCAGAAAAGCTTTATCCTGTGTTGTATATTCACTCTGATTACTATGGATTATGGTTTTCTGTCTTTGGGGCATTTTAGTCTGATTTTGGAAAATTACATTTAAAAATATATATGGGTAGAGGATTTTGCAGCCAAATGCAACTCCCATTTTCTGTTGAATTCTAAAAGGAGAAGATGCCTGCAGTTTATAAATGCAAACAAGTGGAAGGAAAGAAGTCTAGCAGGTCAAGTTTTTCCTAGGAACATCCAGTCTTATTCTCCCTTGCTGTTTTTCAGTGGCAAATTTGCCTGAATTTTGTTTCTTTTTCTGTTCTCAGCATGGACACCTTCTGGAATACATGTGAAATAATTTGTTTTCTTCTCTGTTTTATCTATGCAGCTTCACGATAAAAGAAATGTAATTGCTAGTAATGATTTATGAAGCAGGGAAGGGGCTTTTGCTTCTCCAAACTGAAAAATCTTACACACACACACACACACACACACACACACACACAGAGTGCTTGGGCACTCTAACTGCCCTCAACATGCAAGTTAATGATTACAGAGTCTGTGAATACTCTATGCACAATGCTAAAGCAGATCTAGGTTTCTTTCAGACAGCCATAAAGCAAATGTTCTGCGGCCACTAAGACTGTGGATTTAAAAAGCAGTTATCAGTATGATTAGATATTTTCTTTAAAGGGGGGGAGGATATTTGTTATTTTAAAGAAGTAGGAGCTATCACTTAAAATACTTAAGTATTTTCAGTTAACTCTTGATTCTGTCCTCTTTAAGAAATCTGATGGTAAAATGAAAAATTTATTCACTCTTGAGGGAGAGGCTCTGAGCAAGTAATTTAGGAAGAATTAAAGTACACTTATGTTAAGTGAATCCCTTTTAAAAGGCATCTCAGATCACTCAGACAATAAAGAAAAAGGAGAAGAAAGATGCAGAGGTTTCTAAATACAGCTGGCTAGAGAAGCAGCTTAGACAAAGAGAAATTAGAGCAGCTGGGACCCTTAATGTGCATTGTAAATAGCAAAGAGATGTGAAGGTATCAATACTCCAAAAAGCTTCTGAATATAAATTGGAACTGACAATCTCAGAAGCCTAAAGGTGGGAGAAAGATATTAAGAGCAACAGTTTTAGTAACAGTTATAATTTAATGACTAGGAAATCAATTTGTACTCAGATTTTTCTTTTAACCTTTGCTCCAACTGGTGTATTTTGTAGTTTATTAATAGAAAGTATATGTAATAAGTGCATATGATATTATAGAAATAATTAAGATAGATATGAAAAATGTATGTGTGGACCCTATATATATATATGTGTGTGTGTATATATATTATATATATATATGCCATTACACCTGAAGACTCATAATAAAGTGGAGCAAAATAACAATAATGATTTTATTTATATATATACATACATATATATGGAGAGAGAGAGAGTATGTATCAACAAGAAAACTATATATATGTTGGCTACAATAATATAAATGAAGAAAACATAAAAATATAACTGAATTGATATCAAACATAGCGACTAATGTTGGTTTTAGATGCTTGATATCCAAACACAATTCCTCCTTTTCCATTAAGAAATGATAAACTATAACTATGGAATGTTATATGATCCTATGTTCTGTCAGTAGCAATTGCTATATCAACTGATTTTATTTAGTTTTTGTTTTTTTGCTTATTTTTTAAATGAAAGTACCAAAAGAGTTATTGAGAAGTGATTGGGGAGTCAAAACAAAATGCTTCTAAAGTTATTTTTTAAATTGATTTAAAAATACATCAGTATGTTGAATGATAAACCCTTGCTTTTCTCAGTAGTCCATTTCTAAATTGGGTCTAGCCACTGGGACTGGGCTACCCTATAATCCCTTACTGCCTGGGCTGACAGAATAAGGGTCCACTGCCAATCCTCAAAATACCCATTTGTATGATTGCCCCACATTTGCCCTAGGCCGATCATCAGTTAATGGTATTTTGGATCTGCTGGATTTTTGCCTCCCCCGATTTCCTTAGCTTCACTGGTCTTTCTGATGCCCAAGGACTCTTTGAGGTAAAAACCACAGGAATTCCTCTCTGGCTTGCTCCTCTCCCACCTACTTTTTCCTAAAAATAGATCTCCATCTAAGGTGGTTTAAAGGGGGATTTTATACAAAACTCTGCAGTGTGTTTTTCTGGACAGGCTACTAAAATCTGCTACTCTAGTTCTTAATTAGGGTACAGTAATCTAAAGCCCAGACAAATGCTTTCCTCCTAGCCCTTACCCCTCAGGCATTATCTATACCTAACCTGATACTCTATATCCACAGACTATGGAATATGAAACTCCCTACTTACCCACCACCAGCCTTACCCCTACTCCCTGCAAAAAGGACTTTCCTCTGCATTTGGTGAATCAATTTCTGCCCCACCCCAAATAGAAGCTTTGCCCCCTACATATTACAGATTGACCCATTATCACCACCACCATTAAACTCAACTGGTTTTTTTTTATATTGTACTGCCAGTGTGTCTCTCTACCAGACTAATTTACTGAGATGTGACTATAATTTACATAATCATAATTTACATAAACTCAAATCCTTCATTGCATAGTCAGTCTAACAGCTGGAAAAAAAATTCTCCTTCTTTCTCCTTTGGTCTTACTGCTAGATAAAGGGACATTATGAACGCTAAGATGCAGGAAATTGCCCACAGTAAATATGCTTATCAGGCAGTCTCAGTTGGAATCAGTGGGCCAGCTCCAGATAACCTCATCTGACAATAGGCCTGCTGCTAACTACCACACTGGATCTGTACCATGTGAGCCCACAGACAGGATCTGTGACTGTCACTCATGAGCAGTAGAAATCTACACAAGGCAGTTGGCTCCAGTGAGCCAGTTCAGTAAATATTTATAAAATGCCTACTATGTGCAAGGCCCCAGGCTAGCTACTGAGACTCCGTAAATATCTTTTCTGTTTTTCATCACTTTGTGAAAGGGTCATTCTGAGACATGGCTGAGTTATTCATGATCAGTTCAGGAATAAGAATGAAAGAGGCTCTAGGAAACAGAAAGGAAGAAATAAGCTGGCCACTCTCCTTCCCATTGTTGAAAATGGTTTCTGACTAGTCAATCAGCATTTATTAAGAGCCTACTATGTGCCGTATCCTGTGCTAAACACTGGGGATATAATGAAAGGTAAAAGTCATTCCTTGCTCTCAAGGAATTCACAGTCTAATGAAAAATATTATTTTCTAAGAAAATAATACCTGGTGGGTATTCTTAGACCTTTATTTTACATTGAGAATATTTTACTGGAGTGAGTTGTGAAAAAATGGAATGATGACACTGTCAGTTCAGGCTTGGAATTGAAATCTCATCAGTACCCCTTACCCATGGGAGCTCTCTCTCTCCCTCTGATTGGAGGTTCCCAGGAACTTGCATGTAAGAAAGCCATCTCTTTCTTTTCCACAGGTGCACTCTGGACTTATTCCTGATGCCTAGAACTGCATGCTCCTCCCTTTCACTTCCCCCATCCTTGATTTCCAGCTTTCTTTCATGTGTTGTCTTCCTTCATTAGACTGTAAGCTCCTTGAGGGCA